ATCTGGCATACAATTATTGCTGAATAAAGTATGTCATTATTATTTTGGATCATATTGGGTGTGCATGTTTGTATATGTGTGTGTACACAAAGAACCCAGATTTAGATAAAATCTCTACTGAGAATCAAAATACGTACACCCTCCGCATTCTTGCATTTAACATTCACTGTTAGGAGTACTTGAAAGTAACCCCAAATGTACATAGCATCCTGAATGAAAATTTTACCAAGGTTTGACTTTGAATCATGTCCATTATGAAGCTAGAATGGGAGAACAAGTCAACTTAACAAGTGAGTGAACCTAGTTAACTTCCCTGTGTCTGCATCTCAGTTCAGCTTTAATTTTATGTAATACAAACGCTTATGTAATCCTTAAACTAATCCCATTATTTCCTGTCTTTACAGATGAGCCAATTATGTGCTATAGAAGTGGTGCTAGTTAAGGGTCTCCCAGTTATAAGAAACAGAACCACAACTCAAGCTAGTTTAGGCAAAAACAAGCATTTATTAGCACATATAGCTGTGAAGGATACTAGATGGATACACCTTCAGGTACAGCTGGATTCAGGGGCAAAGAGTATTGTCAGAGTTCTCTTTCTCTCTTTTGTGGTTCTATTTTCCCCTCTCTGTGTTTATTTCATTCCTAGACAGATCTGCAAGGAAATAAATCTATGAGGCTTACAGACCTATAAACTGAGATCCAAAAACTCTTTTCTTTCCCGTGTGTGTGTGTGTGTGTTTGTGTGTGTGTGTGGGTGTGTGTGTGTGAATGTGGAACATCATGACTGGCCTAGCTGGAGTCATATGTCAACCTTGTAGAAAGCATTGTGTATCAGTTATGGTTACGTTTCCTGTGAGTAACAAAGATTCAAAATGCCAGTGACTTATAGTAGAAGTCTATTTCTCTCGCACATAAAAATCTATAGATAAACCCATCCAACATTGTGGGGGAAAAGATTATAGTTCTTACCCATTTCTAATTATCAGAGGCTCCTGAGATTACCAGCTATTACCTAAAGAACCTGACATCTGTGAAGGGCCACATTGGCTCAGATCAATTCACAGAAGGAAATGAGCCAGGGTGGGAAGGATAAGGGATGGAGGAGGTGGGGAAGTGTGAGACATTTTCAGACTTATAAGCTACTCTGAGGGTCACTACAGGGTTGCTATGTGTCTGAATGGGTTTGGTTTGGGTTAAGCTACTCTCAATCATTCCCATTGTGTAAGAACAAGGAAGCCAAAAACCCAAACTAGTTTAGGCAAAAACAGGATTTTATTAGAGAGGATTTACACTTTTTCATGTTGTTGACCTAAATCCTGGATCCCACACTGCCTAGACATGATGAAATACTTATTTCTCAATCCCCATCTCATCACACATGCCACTTCTCCATCTCCATTCCAACAGCTACACCTCAGACGAATAAATTATCTAAGAATCCTCCTGGAATGATGGAAGACTTTGGGCACAAAACCAAAACCAACTGCCAGCTAGTTGACTCCAACTCATGACAACCCCATGTGTGTCAGAGTAGAATTGTGCTCCATAGAGTTTTCATTGGTTAATTGTTTTTGGAAGTAGATCGCTAGGGCTTTCTTCCAAGGTGCTTCTGGGTATACTCAAACCTCCAACCTTTTGATTAGCAGCTGAGCGCATTAACTGTTTGTACCACCCAGGAAGTCTTTGGGCTCCAAGAAAAACTAAATACAACACCTGATCTATGAAGAGCCAGATCCCTAATCAATGAATCAGCAGAGGTGAATGTCTGTTAGGGACTAGGTGTAGTGCTACAGCTGAGAATTTACAGCGAAATTTCAGAATGTTTCATTCTCAGTCTGGCATTATTTTGACTTAGGAGTTTTAATTTTCAGTTGTTGTTATTAGGTGCTGTCAAGTTGGTTCTGACTCATAGTGAGCCTAGGTACAACAGAACAAAACACTGCCCAGTCCTGCTCCATCCTCACAATCATTATTATGCTTGAGCCCATTGTTGCAGCCACTGTGTCAATCGTCTCATTGAGGATCTTCCTCTTTTTCGCTGACCCTCTACCAAGCATGATGTCCTTCTCCAGGGACTGGTCCCTCCTGATAACATGTCCAAAGTATGTAGACGAGGTCTCACCATCCTCTTACAGACAAACGGTGGTTAATTTATAGTACTAGTTCAAAATACTAGGTTACTCTTGAAATTTGGGCACTGCCTCCTGCAGAGTTAACCCATGTGTATAAGAAATTTTGCCCTTAGTTTGGGATTGAACTTCTCGATCTGAGCTGGGCCAGGTCTAAACCATGCTTAGCCCAGCGTGCACTTCCTTTTGATAAAACAAAAGGAAAAGAACCACTACCAGCGCTAACGCCTGGATCTCTCTTCTGAGGCAAGACACTGAGCAGACTGTTGAGGGAAGGTCTTTCCCCAGACTTGACTGTGAAGCCAGTTGTGGGTTTACAGGACTGTGAAGCACATTGAGAAACAAAGCTGTTTTTTATTTCTAATGCTGGCCCCAGATATGAGACTGGTCTGGTGGCTTCCCGTCTAGCCTGAAAATTTAGCAGCTACTATTTGCATACATTTTTAACTCTATAAAATGTGTTTATGCCCATTATCCCATCTTATTACTCTACAACCCTGTAGATGGTAAGGTTGGGTGGAAGAGTTAGTCAGCTAGCAAATTCATTTGACAGATGAGTAGCTTAAGTGAGATGTAGTGATTTAACTCAAATTACACAGCTAGTTAGATGGTCATTCCAAACCTGCAGCCTGACTTCCAGACCTTTTTTCTAACCACTAGAGCGGTGGTTTTCAAAGTGTGGGCCCTTAACCAGCAGCATCAGCATCACCTGGGAACTTGTTAGAAATGCAGATTCTTAGGCCCCACTGTAGACCCACAGAATCAGGAACTCTGGCGGTGGGCCCAAAAGTCTGCATCTTAACAAGCGCATCCAGATGATTCTGATGCATGTGCAAGTTTAGAGTCACTGCACTACAGGGGCCCTGGTGGCACTGTGGTTAAGAGCTACGGCTGCTGACCAAAAGGCTGGCAGTTTGAATCCACCAGCCACTCCTTGGAAATGCTATGGGACAATTCTACTCTGTCCTATAGGGTCGCTATGAGCTGGAATTGGCTCAATGGCTATGGACTTGGTTTGGTTTTTGGTTGGCACTGCATGGTACTACTTTCATCTGCTTCAAACTTCTCACACCAGTTAGCAGCTAAGCGCTTAACCACTGAGCCACCAGGGCTCCTTCTTGAGTTAAAGGGACTCTTCTTAATCCCTTATGTTTGTTTCCAGAGCATTTTAACTCCTCAGAATTGCCATAAAGTATATCTTTAGAAGGAATCCTTGGGGGCGCAAACAGTTAACATGCTCAGCTGCTAACCAAAAGGTTGGAGGTTTAAGTCCACACAGTGACACCTCAGAAGAAAGGCCTGGTGATCTACTTCTGAAAAATCAGCCATTGAAAACCCTATGGAGCTCAGCTCTACTCTGATACTCATGGGTTCTCCATGAGTCGGAATCAACTCAAAGGCAATATTTTTATATATTTAGGAAGTCTGGTAACATAAAGCCTGGGCTACTCGGGCTGCTTGAAACATTTTCTCTTTTTAAACTTCTAGAACTGGCTCTTTGCCAGGCTTGTGCTGATTGGGGATGGGAACCTCAGCTTTCTTTTTTCCTTGATCTGTCTTGGAACCAGAGCTTTGAACTGGTTCGTTCCAGCTCGAACCCCTGCTGAAAATTTGCATTTCCACCCCAGATAGACTGAATCAGAATCTACATTTTAACAAGATCCCCAGTAATTCTTATGTATAATATCCTGGGAACTTGTTAGGAATGCAAATTCTCAGCAGGGGTTCGAATGAGTTCAGAACAAATCAGTTTGAAGCCCTGCTTGGAAGCTTCTCTCCCCAGCTAGATTTAAAGTCCTTAGGAACCATGGAAAGAAAGTATAGTGCCCATTTGGTCCTTTAAGCATCTTTAAAATACTTTCGAATTCTGTTCTACCTGATACCTTCAGTATGTTAATATAGTAATTATATAACCAAACCCACTGCTGTTGAGTCGATTCTGACTCACAGGGACCCCATAGAGCTTCCAAGGCTGTAAATCTCTACAAAAGCAGACTGCCACATCTTTCTCCCGTGGAGCTGCTGGTGATTTCCAACCACTGACTTCTCGGTTAGCAGTCGATGGCTTTAACCACTGTGCCACCAAGTCTCCTTAATAATTGTATATACTAAAAAAATACAAAATACGCTTTAAAGCTGGAAAAGATCAGAGAAATAGCCCTCAGCATCCCCCCCCCGCCCCACACACACACACTTACATATAATGCTGGACATACCTTTCCTTAGAATTAGAGAGGGAGGAAAGCAATGATATGAAGCCCTGTGGCTAGAAGGAAATTTTACCTAAAATCTTCTAACACTGAAGATTTAAAATATCAATGACACCATTATGTCTCAATGGAAAAGAGGTATTTGATTCTAATACAACCAACATATAGATTTTTTCATATATATCTTAATCTGCAGTAGAAATGAGAGAGTTTAGGAATTCATTCATTCAGCATTTATTGAGTGCCCACAATCTGCCAGCCAGGCTTGGGTCTAGGCATTGGGGCAAGTATGGTAAATAAGCATAACATGTCCCTGCCCACCTGGAGCTTACAGTCTTGGGAATGACAGTCAATTAAACAGGCAATTTACTAACAAGTGTGATGAGTGCTGTCCCAGAACACACTAGATACTTTAGGAGCACGTAACAGGGTAGTAAAACTATGTGGGGGTGGGGGGGTGGGCGTGACAAAGACTATTGATCACACATGAGACCAGAGGACTTGGTCCTCAGCAGGGCTTTGAACCAGGAATCCCTGCTGAGAATTTTCATTTCCTCCCAAGATATACTGGATCAGAGTCTACATTTTAACAAGATCTTCCAGGTGATTCTTATGTATAGAAAAGAATCACACTGGGGATATATAAGAATCACCTGGGGATCTCATTAAACTATAGATTCTGATCAAGTATATCTGGGGTGGAAATGCAAATTCTCAGTAGGGGGTTGAACCAGAACGAACCAGTTCAAAGCCCTCGTCCTCGGAAGGCCTAGTCAAAGCAAGCTTATAAAAATTGCTCCAGAGTGGACTGACCATGAGAAGGGAAGATCTGAGGGAGAAGGTGCTCCTGCAGCCTGGCTAACATCAGCAGGCAAGTCACTGCCTTGACCTTTGGAAAATGATGGAGAGGATGGTGAAGGTCAAGAAGATTGCACCAGCTGTGCCTCCAATCATCAGCTCCAGGACGCTGCCGTGCACCTGCATGGCCTGGCAGCGCTCCCCCGTGTAGAAGAAGGCATGTCCAGAGATGCACCTGGGGAAACAGGACACATGGGGAGTGTAGGAGCCACCTGAGCCTCAGGTGCTCTCCAATAACCACCACCACCACAGCAACAACAGCAGCAGCTCCCTGTGCCTGTTCCCATTTGAAGGGCTTTGTATGAATCAATTAATTTAATCCCCAACAACCCTCTGAAGGTGCAGGTTATTATCAGGCCATATTATCATCCTCGTTTTACAGAAAGGTTAAATAACTTGCTCAAGGTCACACGATGAATAAGCATTTCACACTTGAGGTTTAAACCCAGGCAGTATGCCTGCAGAACCAGTACTCTTGGTCACCAGCTGTAAAGTCCAGAAGAAGGTATGGGAAATAGACCCGGGGCTTGGCACTGGCTCAGGCTATCAGCTATAGGGGAAATTCTCCACGCAGAGACTGACTCTACTTTACTGGGAGCTTGAATTTCTAGGTAATACCGATTAAAATCAAGCATTCCTGTAAGGGGAGCATACTGCCATCTATGAGGGTCAAATAAGATGAGGACATTGTGCCTATCATAGTGTTTGTCACACAGTAGCAGATAATGGCCATGCATTGTATTTTTTAAAATGTTATTTAGTATAAAAATCAAACTAATATCAGAACAAAGCCATTAAGGGCCATGTTTCATCTCTTTATAACACTTCCAGCCTTTGCTTCAAACAACACTCCTGTCACAAAATCTACTCACAGAGCAGAATGGAGGGTTCAGAAGTCATGGCATCCTTTTATGAATCCTGGGATCATTGCACCTTTAAAGACCTCATCTCTTACCTGGGAATTAGTTTCTTAAAAAGTCGTGAGAAATAGCATGCATTCAATTTTTTTTTTCTGACCCAAAACCCAAAACCAAACCCATTGCCATCGAGTTGATTCCAACTCCGAGCGACCCTGCAGGACAGAGTAGAACTGCCCCATACGGTTTCCAAGAGCACCTGGTGGATTTGAACTGCTGACCTTTATAATTAGCAGCCATAGCTCTTCACCACTGCACCACCAGGGTTTCCTTTTCTGACCCAGTTCTCTTCAAACACAGTTTAATTGTAGTCCCTAGTGTTACCTTAGAAGAACTTATTCCACAAACTCCAAGCTTCAGGTGTGTGAGAAAGGAATAATTCGGCCGACTAGAGGCTGACACACAAGTGGCCACCCCTGGCCTTCCTGCACTCTGCGCAGGATGAAGCCAGCTGGGGCACATATTGAAATCAAGCATCCAAAGACTTATCAGACAAACAGATTGAGACCCATGGTTGCAAAGTCCTCAGAAAACAAGCTGGGCTTGTCATGGATTGAACTGTGTCCCCCAAAAAATGTGTGTAACAATTTGGCTAGGCCATGATTCCCAGAACTGTGTGGTTGTCTTCCATTTTGTGATAGTAATTTTATGTTAAAGAGGATTAGAGTGGAATTGTAACACCACCCTTACTCAGGTCACATGCCTGATCCAATGTAAAGCGAGTTTCCCTGGGGTGTGGCCTGCACCACCCTTTATCTCTTGTAAGAGATAAAAGGAAAGGGAAGCAAGCAGAGAATTGGGGACCTCATACCATCAAGAAAGCTGTGCCAGGAGCAGAGCGCATCCTTTGAACTGGGGTCCCTGCCCAAAGAAGCTCCTAGTCCAGGAGAACACCGGAAAGAAGAAGGCCAAAAGAAAAAGCCTTCCCCTAGAGCTGATGCCCTGAATTTGGACTTTTAGCCTACTTTAACTGTGAGGAAATAAACTTCCCTTTGTTAAAACCATCCACTTGTGGAATTTCTGTTATAGCAGCACTAGATGACTAAGACAGCATTCTCCAATAAAAGGAACCAGGACTCCTTGGAGAAGTGATTCCAGAGCTGGAGCAGGGAAAACACAAGATGAGCCTGGAGCATCCTGTGGTGCCAGAAGTAAGAACGTGCTCACAGAAGGATGGGTGCATGTTGAAAAGGCACAGGATCCAACCTGAAAAGGCTCCCAAAAGCCAAAGCAAGAATGATTGAGCAACAAAATAAATAATGACATTATCAAAATATAACCCATAGAATCAAATAAATATTTGTAAGTCCTTAGTGATATAAATAATTGAATGAATAAGTGAATGGGGGAGAAGGGATTGCTCTTCTTTATTGAATTCCAATTAATGAATGTGGAGGGAGTGGTAACAATAGAAAATCACCATTATAGGATCACAGTGGTGATTGTTGTGGGCAGGATCCACCAGTGGGAGCTGAAATTGGTGAGTGAGGGTTTGAGGAAAAGCAGGACATCTGCATGGTCTTGAAGTATCTCTCGCAAGATATTTATTGATTACAGAGTGAGGAATGGTAACTTTGCTGTGGAGAGGCCCAGTGGGCACCAGCTTGCCAGGTGACCAAGGTTAACATCACTAGTAACAAGACATACCCTCATCATGTACCTCATGATATGATACACTTAGAAAGGCATATCACTTCTGTGCTATTCTTGCAACAACAACATAGATGCCTAACCTCAATCTAATCATGAGAAAATATCAGATAACCCCAGATTGGGGAACAATTGACAAAGTAACTGACTAGTATTCTTCAAACGTGTCAAGGTCACGAAAGACAAGGGAGGACTGAGAAAGTGTCACAAACTGGAAGAGAGTAAGGTGACACTGTAGCTCCATGTAATATGGGATCCTGAGTGGGATCCAGGAACAGAAGAAGGACATTAGCGGAATAACTAGGGAAATCTAAATAAGGTCTTTAGTTAATAGTGTGTACCAATGCTCAGTTCTTGGTTTTGATCATTGTACCGTGGGTGCATACAATGTTAACATTAGGGGAAGTGGTGTGAAGGATAGGTGAAAACTCTGTACAATTTTTGCAACATATCTGTAAGTCTAAAATTATTTCAGAATAAAAGGTTTTTTTAAAAAAAATAAATAAAGTAGATATTGAAAAGAACTCAGAAGAGATGTAGACGTTTTAAGCCAAGCAGACGGGTTCCCACATCTGCTACAGTTCTGTCACATCAATTTGATGTTTCTGTCGTCATGTGCATCGTTTTATGGAAACTTTTTTTTAAGGTTTTTTTGAAAATAACATACATTATAAAAAAAATCACTATTTTATATAGCAAACTGTGCAGACAAACAGGCCTGCATATAAGTCCCAGGCCTGCATATGAGTCCGAGCTCCAGCATTTGTCATCTAGGTCATTTTAGACAGATTACTTACCCTCTTTAAACTTCAACTTCACATGAAATAGGAATAATTAGAGCACTTATGACACAGGGTGGCTGTGAGGATTCATTTCGATCATGCATGTATACTGCTTAGGAGATCACTTGACATATTACAAGCAGCCAAAACTATCACATAGTCTTATTACTATTATTGAAAATAGAACTAATAATAACGTTAGGATAGAATAATAACAATAATAGTTAATAACTAATCATAACATCTTCAGTCAGTGAAGACTTTAATCTTGGTCCTGAGTCCCACTGTGGCAGGTCATAGCCAGGCTTACAAAGTCCCTAGGCTAAAATCCCTGGTTGTGCTGTTAGAAATTCCAACAACATTCAGCATGTTGATAATGCTTAAAGGGGGGAAAGGGATAAAAGCCAGGAGAGAAGACTTGGGACTCCTCTGCCCTGGAAGGACCCCTACCCTGCCCTAGCAACATAACATGTCTATTTGACTATCTGATGTAGTCATTGCCCTCACCTGCAAAGAGATTTTTTTTTTTTTAATTTTATTGTGGTAGAATATATATAACAAAATATCTGTCGTTTCAACCATTTCTACATGTACAATTGAGTGACATTAATGAGAACAGTATCTTTTACCATCGTTAATCCCTCAGTTCATGTCTGCTGGCCCACCACTTGCCTCCCCTGGGCCGCAGAGCCTACCTGCAGCTCGCCATCCCCTTCACGTTCACACAGATGCTGTCATTTTGGCACGGGTTCAGGTCACACGGGTCTCTGAAGTACTGTGGCCAGTTGTGGTCCTCCATGGGGCCCGTATTCTCCACTGACCGCTTCTGTCGGCTGGTCTGCCCTTGGCCCAGGCTGCTGGGTGGAGCTTTCTCTACCAAGGCCTTCCCTGTGCCTTCCTCTGGGGCTGGCTGCTCCTGACCGTGGAGAACAAGGCCTTGGGGGATCAGCCTTGTGTTTTTAGTGGGAACTTCAGTCTGGTAGAGGTGAGTGATATCTTCAGGAAATAGACAAAGGATCATGAGGAAGAACCACAATTAATAACCTATTACGATTAACTTCTACTTCTGGAGAAAGTTTTTAGGGGCCCCTCTGTCCCTCATGGTCATCAACTTGAGTGACATCGAAGAGCAGTTTTGAGTCCAGCCGATTCTCATAATGCTAGCTATTTTTCATTTAAAATAGTCCAACTGCGTTTTTATTTAACTTGCAAAAAGAGGCATAAAGCTAGCATGGATGGATTGGTTGAAACAAAATTGATATCAGCAAACTGTCATATTTGATAAACTATCAAAAATGGTGGCACTAAAACTTTAGTTTCTCCCAAGGACAATTAAAATAAATATGTGAGTCCTTGAACAATCGCATAAAATGTGGTTCTCTTACATCTTTTTTTTAACTCCCACCCTCCATGAGTTGCTTAAAAATCCGTGCAAAATCAGTACCACACCCAGAGCATAGGACCATTGATTTAGGAAGACCAGCAAAAGTACCTTCAAAGTCCACAAAAATGATGAGGTCATTGTTTTTAAGGAAGCTCCTCCTTTTTAGTATTTGGTGGGAGATGAAACTATTCCAACTTCAGTCGATGGTTCTAAAACAACCACAGCCCTGATCATAGGATCCCACTATGGAGGGTCTGTCCCAGATGACAGAGTCATTTATTGCTGCCAAGTGACCGGTAACATAAAATGATTTTTAAAAGTCACGTTACCTTTTCATACTTCACTTCCCAATTTGTCCTTAATGAGTATTTACAGCTTTGTTCATCAGAAAAACGATGCTGGAAAAAATTAGGTTATTTACTCTTTCCAAGAGAATTAAAGCTGGGGATGGGGAAGAGGGGAAAACCACGGCTGTGAATGGTCAGTTGCCCACTATTGAGTGACTTTTTCAGTAAAGAGGGAGGGACAGCTGTTACCTTCTTCCTTCTAAGGCTTAAGACCCTTCTTTTGAAAAAATAGTTTGCCTACTCCTTTATTAATATAAGTTTATTTCGTGGGCATACTGACCTTTGGTAATATTTAGGAGTCAGTACATTCATTCTGTGCATAGCCTGGCAAATTCGGAGTATTTTATAAATAATAAGCAGTATCTGTCTTCTCAGTTAGGCAGAGCTCAGTGAAGCAGGAACTGCCTGATCTGTTTATATTCTAAGTGCCTAGCACAGAGTTTGGTACATTGCAAGCCCTCAGTAGGTGCTTGGTAAATGAATTCAGGAAAGAGAAGGAAGATAAGATAGCAGTGGAAATCTCAATAATCCAACATGACTATGTTGTTGATATGCCCAAGGAGGAAACAGGAGAGAAATGTGAATTTGTCTTATACAGATGACACTCACATCTGCTGGTCTTCCAGTTTGGGGGGCAGTTCTTAATTATGCTGAAATTACCTACCTGAAGATGTCTGGGACTTGGAGGTAGTGAACACCAGGCTGGAGGACATCCTATTGCTAGCATCGGGCTCCTGGTCGAGAATTGTTATTATCACCTGTCTGTCTACAACTGGCCACTCCAGAAGAGCGTCATTCTCTCCACTGCACACGTGAAAAGCAAGTTTTATGTAGTCAGAGATAGTAGAGGTTGTTCTGCCATGGGGGTATAAGGTCAACCCAAAACCATATCCCTCTGTGTTATAGAATCGAGGACTCAGAAGCCCCTCTCCTTTTACTGTGTTCTCAAGAGCCTGGGAGAAGTTCCGTATTGTCCAAACTCCTGTGGGGCATGGCGTTTCCGTCAGAGTGATGTCATCAAGGTAAATTCCCCCATTGGAGTTCTGGTGGTCACCTTTTGTGCCCTGAAAAAGGTAGCGGAACTTCTTTTCCTCTCTGAGCGTCACATGAGCAATTTTCCAATTTTGATCAAGATCTCCTGAGGACAAATGGAAAATAAGTTTGGTGACAATTGTGGCCAACAGATATGGAGCACTTACTATGAGTCTGGTAGTATGCCAGGCACCTGCCTCACATTATCTCGTTTAATCCTCAAAACAGCCCTATGAGGTAAGAACTGTTTTAAACTGATTAAGTAACTTTTCCAGGGCCACATGTCTAGTAAGGGAGAAATAGCTTAAAAAAGATACACCATGATTTATTTAAAAATTCATATTCAAATTCTAACCATGAAGTTTTCAGCCATCATTTAGCTCTACAGGTTGTGGATGCTTAGATGCTAAAAGTGTTTGACAAAGACAAGTCTCATCTCTGTTCTTTCAGAATTGTAAAGGGGTCATCTGTAGGGGAGTCCTCAGTTAAAACGTGTGTGTGCGCACATATACATGTTTGCATGCAAGTATTTTGTATATAAGTTTATATGTAAGCATATTTGTATGTGATCATTTATATGTAAAGATCATGTATGTATATATGCGTATATGTACACGTACATATTCTGTATGCAAGTATTTTGGTGAAAAACGCATTTTGCAAAAGTTAAAATATATTTAAATATGGTTTTAACTATCTTAAGCTGAATATCACATAAATGCTGGGCAATATTTAACTAACTTTTTAGAAAAGTCTCATTGACAAGTCAGTATTGGAATGCACTTCTTTAAGAATCCATTCGTATGGTACTTCCAGAGATCTTACAGAAACACACTTTAAACTCAATAGAACTCAAATCATAAGCAGTGTAATGAGCTAAATTAAGCATGGAAAGGTTGGTTGGCTGATTTTATGCTTGTGGGGATCACAATTTCAGCTTTATATGGAAGTGAGCAATAATAGAGCCCATCAATGTTATTGAGACTCTACTTCATTTTCTCATTAAATATTTACAATTCTTGGTAACATAGCAAATTCTTAACTCTTAAAGGACTTCCATTACACCAGCTATGACAAATTCCAGCCAGAAATGTGAACTCCTCAAAACTATTATTTGTACAGTTCTCAGGTGTTCCACAGAATGGTCTGGCAGCAATGATTTGGGCACCTATTCTTACAAGTGACCTCTAAGAAAGCTTCCACCTTTTCAAGAGCTGAGTGAAATTCAGTCCTTTCTCTGGATGAATTTTAACTGAAAAATTCTTTATGAAATGGAAAAATATGAAAGCTTGACTCTCTTTTCCTAGTTGTGAATTAACCAAAAAAAAAAAAAAAAGTAAATACTTGGCTTTTATAACACTGGATCTTGATTTACAGGCAACTTACTTTCACATCCAACTGCTTAGTATTTTAACATTCTCATGCTGACATTTTTACATAGAAATACATAAAGTAGCGCTTAGGAATATGGAAATAAGTGTAATGAAATCAATATTTACAAATGGTTTATTTCCCACCAACTTCAGAAGTAGGCTTCAAGTCACTTCAGCATGCTAAATAATGGTATCATTTAGTTTTCTGAAAGGGTTGCAAAAACACTTATGGTCAACTGCTTAACTACTCTCTCCCCAGCAGCATCAATTCCTGCACCTCTTTTACCTTCCAGTCCTCACCCCTGACTCAGCCATTTTCTCTTCTGGCCCTGGGTTTCTCCAAAACGCTAGTGAAAATTGAATTTATATACGCTAATTGTCCTCTTACAAAAATATGTATCCGCCTCACCAAAACCCTCGACGCTCCTACAAATTTTTGAGTAGTTAAAAGATTTATCGTGTGGTTAAAATAAGCCAGACATTATTCTAGGCCCTTAGAAGAGAAGGAAGTGAAAGGGGGTAAGGGAGAAGAGGAGAAGGAGGAAGAGGAGGAGGAGGAAGGAAAGAAGAGGAAGAGGAGAAAGAACAGAAAGAGGAGGGAGAGGAGGCGGGGGAGGAGGAGGTGGAGAAGGCAGAAAGTGGAGAGAAGCGGGAGGGAATGGAGGAAGAGAAGCATGATTCCAGATCATAAGCCAAGCAGTCCCTGTGTGGATGCCTCTGAGTACCTTGGAAGGTCTTCACCTTGATCAGCTTGCGAACGTTGCCTGTACTGTCATCCCTCCTGACCCAGACGATGAGTCTATCTGAAAGGCTTCCCGTCATTTTGTAGAAAAACTGCAAGCACTGCTGCTTCCTCTTTGGGTAAAGAATCCGAGACTCCAGCAGGGCTGCCTCTTCTGCTGACCCTGAGCTGGTGTTGAAGTGCATGAAGTAGCCAGCACCTGTGGAGAGAGCACCCTAACGTCTCATCTCTGGCTTCCCACCCCCCAGGGTGCCATCTGCCTGGGCAAAGTGAAGTAGTGATTAACAGCCACTATCCAGGCAACAAAAGCAAGAGCTCTTCTGGGGAAAATAAAAAGAAGGTGTTTGTCAGTCAACATGCTGTTTGTCTCTATGGACAGACTCACTGGCTGAAGCAGGAGTTCTCCATTGCCTCTTGGATAGCCTTTGTTCCTACAGTTGTGAAATCTATACCTCTGACTTAAGGAAATACAGGCTTCGAGCAAAGTCTGATAGAAGTTAATGTCTGTGAAATGAGTTCTATTTTCCTCATTGACTTCATTGTTTAAATTAGAGATTCTTTCCAAGGGAAAGAGCTGGTCTTATAGATGTACAAGAAACAAACAATCAAAAAAATTAAACCTGTTGCCATCGAGTTGATTCCGACTCATAGCGACAAGAAACAGTGGGGTTCAAAGGTTTAAGATTTGGATTTTGAATATTACGTTTATGATGATAAGAGTTCAATTGCCCCTGCTTCTAGCCTAATAACTGGGTGTATTAGCGTATGTAAAGAATCATCTGGTGATGAGAGGAGCTTTAAAGACATATTAGGGACTGAGAATTTCTCCTGAGTGTAAAGGAAAGCTCTGAAAAAACACTGGAAAAGAGGGCAATAAAGTGTCTACAGCATTTGCACCAGAGCTGGAGTTTGCCTAACTCAGATGTCTCCGAATCCTCTTCCCTAAACACAAGGAGGCAGCTAAATTTATGCATCATTAGGCAAACCAGCACACCTTCCAAAGTCAAGCATAATAAACAATTCTTGCGTGTAAAAAGGCCCTTCAAACAGTACTCCAGTACTCAATTCCTTACCAATTGCTCTACTCAAAATATTTCACAAAATAAAAATAATGTGAGATACAGTACAGTTAAGGGTACTCTGGCAATCTGGTGCCCAGCTTCATACTGCCTTGTACATGGAGTGTGTGCCTTCCACATTGGCAGCAAGCATCAATGGTTCAAATATGCTTTCCACTAAGCTTAAAATTATCTAAATGGCTTTGGTAGTACATCAAGGAAAATTATACTTTCTTGTATGTTCTTCCCAATACTTGGATGCACTCAATATAGTGTAGCTGGAAACCTCTGCCTTATGAATGTTTGGGTCAAAGGAAAGAAGTTCTCACAAGGGGTTCCCTAATCAGGAAGTCCCGCCCAAATGCATTAGGAAGTGTAAAGTGAAAGTCAGATATCTCAGGCCTGGTGGTCAGGAGACCTGAATTCTTGCCTTGGCTCTGCCACTAACTAGGTGATGATTCACGACTCTGAGTTTCAGATGGGAGGTAGCTTCAATTCCAAGGGACCCCTGGAGCTCTTCAATTTGATGCATCTACCTGAACAATGCCCATGCTCTCTAAAAGAAGGAAAACAGTTCCAACCAATACCTTCCTGTGGAAGAAGCATAATGGCTCCTCAAGTTATCCTGATAAAGCTTTTCTCCCATCTCTTCTGGGGTGTGGTCCTTTTTTTCCCCACTAGGGTGCTAGAACATTCTTCCAGCAGTTTCCTTTCACATAAAGATCACCCTTCTGTTTAGCTGGCAATTGTACATTAGCTTAGCAGCAAGCTCACTGGAGAGATTGGATCAGGAGCTATGATGGCAATTTTATAGAGGGAACTTCAGGCTTGGATTACCCTTTGGACAGTGGAGATAATCTGTTTGACATCTTGTGTGTGACAGAGGCTTCCACCCTTTGCCAAGGCTGGAGGAAGAATGGTACTGGCTTATGGTCGCTGACATCTCCCTGATGGCCTGGCATGTAGATGACATGATGGATCACTTCAGCAAAGGCAACCTAATCATCCCCCAGGCAAGCATGGACTAAGGGACCTCACAAGAGTCTGTTTTCTTAAAAAAACTGTTAGAATTTGTAATCCAACCTCTTCCAAAGAGGGATTGAGATGATTTCAATGAGAAGCACATAATGTAAGGGTGCTAAAATAGAGAAAATAAATGGGACCTATAGGGGGAAGGGAAAGATGGGGGGAAAATAGGGAGTGAAGCTACTTGTCTAAAGCTGGGAGGTTTGCATGCATTGTCTCCTTCCATCCTCACTCTGAAGTATCAATATCTTGCTGCTCAGAGAAGCTTACAAAAGCAAAGACTTAAAAAAAAAATCACTTCTTATGGTTACAGGAGCCCTGGTGGTGTATTAGTTAAGAGCTCATCTGCTAACCAAAAGGTTGGCAGTTCAAATCCACCAGTCACTCCTTGGAAACCCTACGGGGCAGTTCTACTCTGTCCTATAGGGTCACTATCAGTCGGAACTGACTCAATGGCACCTAACAACAACAACATGGTTGCAATTAGTAAGTGGTGGAACCAGATTTCAAACCCAGGTCTGTCTGACCTTATGGCTGTTTCACTACACAAAACACATACAGGAACTATCTAAAGATGTGCTACCCAATATGGTGATCACCAGCTATATGGGGCTATTGAGCCCTTGAATGGTGGCCAGTCCAAACTGAGATGTGCTCTAAGGGTAAAATATATACCACATTTCAAATATTTAGTTAAAAAAAACCCAAAATATCTCATTAACAATTATTAATGATTACATTGGAAACCCTGGTGGCTTAGTGGTTAAGAGCTATGTCTGTTAACCAAAAGGTCAGCAGCTCGAATCCACCAGGCGCTCCTTGAAAACTCTATGGGGCAGTGCTACTCTGTCCTATAGGGTTGCTTGCTGATTACATGCTGAAATTGCTCATCTTTTGGATATATTAGGTTAAATAAACTACATTATTGAATTAATTTCACCAGTGTTTTCTTATTTTTTGTGTGGCTATTAGAAAAATTTAAATTACATATGTGAGTTACTTTATGGTTTTATTGGAGGATACTGCTCTAGAGACATAATCCTTATCTACAGAAGTCATGTCTTATCAACCAGATGTCTATTTCAGTTGTCATCACTTGTTGAGTTAATAATTAAGATACAAGAAATGTTCTTTGTCTTTATTCAGATTTCCAGCCTTGATAACTAACATTCAGACTGAGGCAAAACATGCTGACTGCTATTCCCTAGTTCTACCTGGTGAACCACCTCAGTGTGTTTAACCTTCCTCTTTCACCTACCTGTGCAGCATCCCACCAAGGTGTGATCCACTTGTCCTGGCCAAGCACTGTTCTCATGAACCCAGTCAGCATCGTCTCTGGTGCCCTGGATCATGCCACAGATGTTTGCCTTCTCAAAAGCACAGTGGTCCAAAAGGGTGTGAGTTGTTGCTGCAAATGATATTTTTGTCGCCTGGTTAAAATTTAAGGCATTTCATTCCACATAGATATTGCGTAGGCCACTAAGACCTCATTGTCCAGAAGCAATAGGATCATGAGCCTTTCATTTTCTTGACTTTTTTTCAAATGCAGGTCCTACTATCATCAGTAAGATTTTAGAACTTAACAACATAGAAACAACCCTTCCCACCTCGTACGGTCAAATGATAAAAAGGCATGTAATTGTGTTTTGTTATATAAATACAAAGCACGAGCTCCTGGCTTCACACTTAGTAGGTCATCTATACATACTTTTTGAACAGAACTAATGACTGTATCTCTAAAGACTACTGGGGTCATCTTAGAAACGCCTCATCCCACAGGAAGAGACTTGGTCACTGTAGGAATAGCTAACCAAGGGTAAGCATTTTGCAGGATACAAATACTTTCAAATATATCACCATTTATTCTGAGTATCTGACCTTTACATAATGATGCACCCTTCGAAAGGAAGCTAAAGAAGTTAGACAGTAACAGCTCCTTGCATTTGCCCAATACTTTCACTTGGCAAAACACAACCACATAATTAATTTTCATAACTATCTTGTGAGGTTAAGTATTATGATTTTTTTCTACTCTAGAGATAGAACAACTAAGGTTACTTAGTTTTGCTATGTCCCTTTATCTAGAATATGGGAAGAAGAGTAAAGGAAAATGTAAAGGAAATGCCTAGAGTCATTTGGGGCTAGTTTACCCAGTCCTCAGACCCAGGAGTACTCACTGCAATTGTACATTTGGTTCAGCCTTTCTAAGTCAATGGTGCTGAAATCCAGGCGCTGCCCAATGATAGAATCAAACTCAGGGATTTTGGCCGTAATGGTAGGGACATTTGCATTCATGTTAAATGAGAAAGGTGTGTAGTACACCAAAGACTCGTAATCATAGGGCGTGTTGAGGTCTGTGATGAAGCTGTCATTGTACGTGTTAAAGTTGTGCTGGTAGCCTGTCAGGGAGAGAATTCACAGGTCCTGCTTAGTCATATTATTTTCTCCACCCATTCGTCTTTAACCAGATACTCAAACAGAGACCAAAAAAAAAAAAAAAACAGGAAACACTGCATGTTTTATTTAAGTGTGTGCGTGTGTATATACATAACCCAAAAGAAAACCATTGCCGTCAAGTTGGTTCCAACTCATAGCAAACCTACAGGACAGAGTAGAACTGCCCCATTGGGTTTCTTAGGCTGTACTCTTTATGGGAGCAGACCACCAGGTCTTTTCTCCTGTGGAGCCACTGGGTGGGTTCAAACCACTGACCATTTGGTTAGCAGCTGAATGCTTAACCGTTGTGCCACAAGGGCTCTCTCTCTCTCTCACTATATATGTAAATATATATGTGTATACATATATATACACACACACACAGAGGAGTCCTTGGGTGGTGCAAATGGTTAACATGCTGAGATGCTAACCTAAGATTGGAAGTTCTAGTCCACCCAGAGGTGCCTCGAAAGAAAGGCCTGATGATCTACATCTGAAAAATCAGCACTGGAAACCCTATGGAGCACAGTTCTACTCTGACACACATGGGTCACCATGAGTTGAAGGCAAATGTATGGCAACTGTATATATACCAAAACCTTTTTGCCGTTGAGTTGATTCCGACTCATAGCGACCTCATAGGACAGAGTAGAACTGCCCCATAGGGTTGCCAAGGAGCAGCTGGTAGATTCAAACTGCTAACCTTTTGGTTAGCAGATGAGCTCTTAACCACCACACTGCCAGGGCGCCTATATATATATATAGATATATACAAGTATATATATCTATGTATACACATAGATACACATATATACATACACACACACAGACACAAATACAATTGTCCCTCGGTATCGGCAGGGGATTGGTTCCAGGTCCCCCGTGGATACCAAAATTCACAAATGCTCAAGTCCCTTATGTAAAATGGCATAGTATTTGCATATAACCTACGCACATCCTCCTGTATACTTTAAATTGTCTCTAGATTACTTATAATACCTAATACAAGGTAAATGCTATGTAAATAGTTGTCTCATCACAATTGAAGACTTGCTCTGGAAGGTAGACTTGCTCTTCTATGAGTTTCTTGAGCCCTTCTGGGAATGCTGTTGCTGGCTGGGTATCAACCGATGCCAAGTCTCCCATGATCTTGAAGTTCTTGAGGCTGTAGTGCTTTACACAGCTAGCCAGCCATCCCTTAGTAGCCTGAAACTCTTTCTAGCTCTCCTCAGCCCCCTCACACTTAGCCCTTAAGGGATTACTTTGCCTACTTAATAGCTTTTTAGGAGCCATTTTTTCACAGAAACAAAGAGTGCACACAACACAAGTAGCGAACGAATGAGACGTGAGGTGAACGATGCTTAAACAATGAGTGCTAGAGAGAGACTGAGGATCTGTGAGATGGTGGGAGGCTACAGCAGGGTATCCCTACTCATCACTTCATTAGCGTGGATTCTGTGTAGTGCTTGGTGGGTGGCAAATTCAAGTTTTGCTCATTAGAACTTTTTTTTTTCCCCCAAATATTTTTAATCTGCAGTTGGTTGATTCCCTGGATGCAGAACCCTTGGATAAGGAGGGCTGACTGTATATGTTTTTTAAGACCTTCAGAAAGAGAAGGTAAAATGTCAAAGCTGATTCGTGAATTCCAAATGGTGGGACAAGGACTTTTTGAATTAAGAAAAATGTTCAGGATTATCTTCAAGATACACTTTCCCAATAGCCAAGTACTCCAGCTACATACATCTGCCCAGAGCTGTACCTGGCTGGCTCTTCCATAAGTTAGGAAAAGGAAATCTGAGGTGCAAACAGAAAGGTAAAAAGAGGTCAGAAAGGGGCATCCTGCCAAGTAAAGTTTATGCCCTTCTATCCCAGAAAAGCCTCATGGAGAGAAAAATAAAATAGAAAGAATAAAATTTATTTTCATTTCAAAATAGGGAAGTAAAATATGTTATGAGGAGATGATTGCAAGTGAGGTAACATGTACGACAATGTGAAACGTCAAAAGGAGAAACCAGTAAGATATTCTTTTAATTGACTAACCATCAGATCAGAAATACACTGTTCCAGCTGCAGAAATGGGGAGAGTTTCCAGATTTTCAGTTGCCCTCTTGTGAAGTGATAGAAAACCCAAATGAAAATGCTCATAACTCTTCCAGTCTCATAATTTTCCATCCTCATGTTCTGTCTCCTTCTCTAGCTCCCCTTTCAGTTTTTTTTTTTTTTTTAAACAATTAAAGAGAAGAAAATATAACCACGTTTCCAACACATCCCACACAAGTACATTGAGGATGGAAGAAGAGTGGTGCTTTGGAGAGTGGGTGCTGCCAGGCGTCTCCAAATGTTTTTGGAAACACCGATGAACCTCTTTGAGGAAGACTTCGTGTTAACTATAAAATGAGAACACTGATGTTTCTTCCTCCTAACTTAAAGGGATTTTATGGGGAACTGTTTGATAGGGATCAAAGCATTTTCAAAGATGGGACAGAATTGGAAAAAGTAAATGACCCAAACAGGGAAGGGGAACAGTAGCTCCTTCCAGATGACTGGGTCCTAAAATGTCATTGAAAGTACTAAATCGTAAAGAACATTAAGGTGGAGGTAAATAGAACGGGGCTTGAGTCTGGGATCTCCCAGTGACAATAAGCAAAGTTCTTCCAACTTACTAGATGCGTTTTCCTTAACTTTTGATGAAATCATCAGGTTAGAATAGATTACTTTATTCTTTATAATTTAAGTATTTTTATTAGAATGCTTTAACAAACAAATGTTTCAAACTAAAAAAAAAAACAAAACCTATTCAACATGTTTTTGTGATGTCTACTATCAAATGGGATCATGCTGGCCCTTGACAGTAAATGGGACAGATGCAGTTCTGCCCTCAGGAATTCACAACTGAGAGCCTTAAAGAGTGAGTCATCCTCTAAACCGGGGGTTAGGGGTGGTCACAATATTTTTGGGGTTTTTTTTTTGGTAAAAGGTCAGACACTAAATATTTTTGGCTTTGCAGGCCACATAGGTCTCTGTCGCAACTACTCAGCTCTGCCGCTGTAGAGCAGAAATAACCAGAAACCACACGTAAATGAATGGGCATGGCCGTGTTCCAATAAAACTTTGCTTACAGAAGCATGTGTGCTTGGCCCGTGAGCTAGTTATAGTTTACCAAACCCTGCGAAACCTCAGAAGTCAAGTTCTTTTTCTCAATGGAAGGGAACAGATCCAGAAAACAGAATTCCTACCAAAAAAATCTAGCTGGACGTGGGGAGAGAACTATATCACCAGTACAGTATCTTCTTAGGTTAAACAGTATGATTGTCATCGACTGAAAAGGAAGTACCATAAAACTCTTTACCGGAGAAATAAATATTGCCCTTGATTATAATCTTATTGGATTTGACATGTACTTTGAGAACAGCTCGCCAAGTGTTGCAGGTAATTTAGATATATAGAATTATATCTGCTGAAAATATAGATAAAAGATGAATTGAACAACCTGTGCTCGACCCAAGGATGAGCAAGTCTGCAAATGACCCCAGCAAATGTGCTGGCTCACTCAAAACAAGAGGACCTCACTGGGCCTAAAACCATCTTAAAGGCACTGAACACAGTGTCCTTCAAGATATAGAAATGGAGTATTTTCTAATTTATCATATAGTTTTCAGCAGAACAGAGTATTTATACAGGAAGGTATGAAACGCAGACCTCTAGGCAAACACAGACCAAGTCTAATAGTGTCCTGAGTCTCACAAACAGAAATTCAATCTTTTGTTGTATGACTATCCTCCCTTTCCCCCTTTACACATACCCAGTTATAATGCAGTTACCCCTGGGAGACAAATTCAGTCTGATCTCTTATTTCACCTCTAGGTGAATACTCTCCACTGCTTCTCTACATGAGATTGGGAAGCAAAGAAGAAAATTGCTTTTCCTATAGTTCAGTGGCTGAGTGGTAAGGTAGGTGGGAGTTGAGGGGGGTCCAATCCTAATGACCTATTAGGGCTTTACAAACCACACAGTTTCCCTCCCTTCCCACAACTCCACATTCCTAGAATGATCAGAATATGATGGACAGGAGGGATACAGGTTAAGAAAACCCCACAGGTGATTTTGACATGATTAGACGTGATTAGCCACCCCTACCCGTATCTCAAGAGAAAGCCATTGATCCACCCTATTCCAAAATAAGCTAGTTCTGGCAGAAGTCTTTTGGGGATTCATATTTAATTTTAAAGTGTGGCCCGTTTTTCCACGTCCCTACGAGTGAAATTATTACAGATGCATTGTAATATCTGAACCCATATATGAAATTTGGACCTAAATTAACAGTATACATGAGACAATTACTTGCTTCACAAAAGCCATGTGTGGTAATAGTTGAGGCATTTCTAATACATTAAAATTTCATTAATCTGTTACTGCCAAAATAAATGTTTTTACGCTTCCTGAATGAATTTCTAATTAAATACTGTGTGTCTTCTGAAACACAGCATTGACTTTTTTTCCCTCAGCACATTAGAAACGACTTCATAAATGATGTTTCAGTGTATTCAAAAACACCCTACTTAGTTGTTTCAAATAATTAAGGCAGCATTCAAGGGAGAAAAGAAGTCTAAAAAAACAAAAGAACATTGAAGTTGTTACAATAACATGACTGCATAATAATACTTCAGAAAAAAATCGTGCTGTCTTTTGTGAAGTACCTGATGGAGGAAGAAGAGGTGAGGTGCTTAGAAAAGAGGAAGAACAGATCATTCGAATTTTAACTTCTGTTATTAGATGTCATGACTTCTGAACCCTCCGTTCTGCTCTGTGAGTAGATTTGGTGACAGGAGTGTTGTTTGAAACAAAGGCTGGAAGTGTTATAAAGAGATGAAACATGGCCCTTAATGGCTTTGTTCTGATATTAGTTTGATTTTTATACTAAATAACATTTAAAAAAAAATAAAATGCATGGCCATTATGTGCTACTGTGTGACAAACACTATGATAAGCACAATGTCCTCATCTTATTTGACCCTCATAGATGGCAGTACGCTCACCTTACAGTAACAGTTGATTTTAGTTGATATTACCTAGAAATTCAAGCTCCCAGTAAAGCACTGAGTCAGACTCTACCTGGAGAATTTCCCCTACAGCTGATAGTCTGAGCTATGAGTTCTGACTCACAGCAACCCTATGTACAACAGAATGAGACACTGCCTGGTCCTGTGCCGTCCTCACAATCATTGCTATGTTTGAGCCCACTGTTGCAGCCACTGTGTTGCACCCACTAGAGCTCAGATCATTAATCAGAATTAACAGGATTGGGTTTGCAATTTCAGATAAAAGTATTTTGTGTTGTTTTGTTTTTAAACAGCTATCTTTGATTTGATAAAACATAAAAAAAACATCTGGAGTATGTCCTATTGTTAGTTGCTGTTGAGTCCATTCCTACTCACAGGGACCCCATGCGTGTCACATTGGAACTGTGTTCCAAAGGGTTTTCAAGGCTGTGACCTTTCAGAAGCAGATCACCAAGCCCGTGTCCTCAGGCGCCTCTGGATGGAGTCTTCTTTTCATCAAGGTCATTATATGGTAAACTAAATCTCATATAGCCTTCTAGAATTATATGAGATTTCTAGAGCTACGTGATATTTTACATCCAGAAAAATAACTGACATCCTCAGAGACCTAATTCACTTTACTCACTAAGACAGGAAAATAGAAAGCATTTTAGATTAAGTTTCAACAAAAACACTGAAATAAAGCAAAATAGTTAACCAACCTACACCACGCCCTGAGACACTTGTCTGGGATCAGTTATGATCAGATCAGCACAGTCCACAGGAGAGGCCAACAAATCATTTTTTAAAAAAACTAAAAACAGTCACCATTGAGTTGACTCTAATTCATGGTGGCCCCATGTATGTCAGAGTAGAACTGTATTTCATAGGATTTTCCATGGTTGATTTTTCAGAAATAGATCACCAGGCTTTTCTTCTGAGAGACCTTTAGGTGAATTCAAACCTCCAACCTTTTGGTAAGAAGCCAAGCGTGTTAACCTCTCACACTACCCAGGAACTCCATAACCCCTCCATGTTCTGTGTTCCCACTGGAGAAGCTAAAGCCCCAGATGATACAAATTTGGCCATCCCAGAGTTGATCTTAGTAAATGCTAAATGTAATAGCAAATTCCACCCCACCACATTAGGGTCATACACACCTGGAATAATTTCATCCCACCAGATGGTCACATAATCATCCCGGTCAGTCTTTGACTGCTCGTGGTAAAATCCCAAAGCGTGCAGGATCTCATGTTCGATGATGGCCTTATGGTCACAGCCCTTGCCAATGGAAAGATTCTGTTCCACGTGTTTGTCACCAACCTCTGACCAGCATCTTTAAAGAGGAGAAGAGAGAAAATTTCTCCTAGAGAATTAAGTCCAAAAATGGCTGTAATTTATAGGATTCTAGAACATAAATTAGAAATAAATTAGGTTTGATTTTTTTAAAAATAAATTATCAATAGCATTCTCATATGTTAATGGTTCAACAATAGGGGAGTGGTTAACATTCCCTAGAGGGAATTTTATGCAGGCTTTAAAAGTGATAATCCATTGTAAAAGTGGTACACACTCAGAGGAAAAAGTAATTTTAATAACACATAAAGGTATAATGAGATAAACATTGGCATTCTTCCTCACCTCTACATATCCACAGGACACTCTAAAGAGTTAGCACAGAGAAGGCTGCCTAACTTATTTTTGAAGAGCTTTAGGCAAGGGGTACCCATAACTCCCCTTAGAAACCAGGGGACTCAGGAACTACCCATTGTTGTAGTTAGGTGCCGTCGAGTCGGTTCCGACTCATAGCAACCCCACGTACAACAGAATGAAACGCTGCCTGGTCCTGCACCATCCTCACAATGGTTGTTATGCTTGAGCCCATTGTTGCAGCCACCGTGTCAATCCATCTCATTGACAGTCTTCCTCTTTTTCACTGACCCTCTACCTTACCAAGCATGATGTCCTTCTCCAGGGACTGGTCCCTCCTGATAACATGTCCAAAGTGCCTGAGACATAGTCTCGCCATCCCCACTTCTAAGGAGCATCTGGCTGTACTTCTTCCAAAACAGATTTGTTCATTCTTCTGCCAGTCCATGGTATAGTCAATATTCTTCATCAACACTATAATTCAAATACATCAATTCTTCTTCAGTCTTCCTTATTTATTCCTTATACAACCAACTGACAGACAATGGTGGAGGAACTACGTAGGAACTCTAAATTCCTCATAGTGAATCCTCTTGCCTTCTTTTTCCCTTTTCTCATAAATCCTGTTCTCCAACTCTCTTAGCAAACCCAAAGAGTCCCACAAATCATCTACTGATTGGCTCTAAGTTGTGGAATGAGGATCTGTACTCTAACCAATGCTGAGTACAATAAGAGATTTGCCGACAGTTTTTTTTGTTGTTGTTGTTATTATTTAAATAATATTTATTTAAATGCTAGGCACTGAGGATACAACAGTGAAAAATTAATGTGGCTGCTATTTTTTCCCCCATACAAACATTTATACATACTTTGTTATGTGACTCTGATTGCTCTCCCCATACTGTGACAGCACACTCCTCCTTTCCACCCATGATTCCCCACGTCCATTCAACCAGCTCCGAATTCTCTCTGCCTTCCCATTTCACCTCCGGACAGAAGCTGCCCATTTAGTCTCTTGTATCTACTTGATCTTAAGAGGCACACTCCTCACGAGTATCACATTATGTCCCACAGACCAGTCCAATCCCTGTCTGAAGAGTTGGCCTTGGAAATTGTTTTAGTTCTGGGCTGATAAAGAATCCAGGCGCCACGCTTTCCGGGGTTCCTGCAGTCTCAGTCAGACCATTAAGTCTGCTCTTCTGACTACATTTGAGTTCTGCACTCCACCTTTCTCCTGCTCCATCCGGGACTCTCTGTTGTGTTCCGTCACGGTGGTTATTGGTGGAAGCCGGGCACCGTCTAATTCTTCTGGTCTCAGGCTGATGAAGTCTCTGGTTTATGTTGCCCTTTCTGTCTCTTGGGCTACTACTTTCCTTGTGTCTTTGGTGTTCTTCATTCTCCTTTACTCCAGGTGGTTGGGACCAATTGACGCATCTTAGATGGCCCCTTGCAAGCTTTTAAGACCCCAGACGTAATGTGGCTACTATTATTTATAGTTTGCATGTGCCAGACACTGTACTGTGAAGGGTTTTTTTTAATAGACTTTATTTTTTAGAGCAGTTTTAGGCTTACAAAAAAATTGCACAGAAAAGTACAAAGGGTTCCCACGTATCCCCGATTCTCTCCCCTACACAGTTTCACTATTAATATCTTGCATTCACGTGAAACATTTGTTATAATTGATGAACCAATATTGATACATTATTATTGTCTAAAGTCCATAGTTTACATTCGGGTTCACTCTTTTTTGTTGCTGGGTTCTATGGGTTTTAACAAATGCATAATGTCATGTGTCCACCAGGACAGTACCATGCAGAATAGTTTCACTGCTCTTAAAACACCCTGTGCTCCACCTATTCATCCCTCTTCCACTTGCTGATAGTTTGAGATGCGACAGGATGAATCGCAGGCTCCTTGGCGACAGGCACATTCTCTTACCTGCTATTGTTTTCCCTAACATCTCTAATATCATATACCTTCAAATGCTAATCAATTCGATTTCTAAGATCAAAGATGAAACTTATATTTCTATTTTTTAAATTTTCTAAGTTCCAGTTTATAGACAATAAAACTGACTCATTTTAAATGTAGAGTTCAATAATTTTTGGTAGATTTATGGAGTTATGCAGATACCACCATGATCAGCTTGTCTCTCTGGTGGTAGAAATTCATTACTAACTTAGAGTTTGCTCTGCAGCGTATGCACAACCCACAGGAAGCATTTTTTCTTTACCTTTTCTTTTTTATATCTCTCCTTTAGTTGAAAAGTGTAAGTTGCAAAAATATCATAAACTCCACCATGCTGCAAACCTTTGGCCTCTGTCTTTCTGAAAGAGCCCAGGGGCCTCCAGCTCCAGAGAACCAGAGTCCCCTTTCCATAGGGTTTTGGGGCACTTGGGTCCCCTTCCCCAGACCTTCTTTCTCACCTTGTCCTTCCCATGACTTAAATGTTACAGAGGCACCTCCTGGCTGCTGGCAGCTAAGAGCCCTCTAGATTTCCCCTTGTCCAGAGAATGCCCTCAGTGCTGACCACCCCTTCATCAGGTACCTACAGACTGAGTCATAAATGACACAGAAGCCAAGAGAATTTTAGTGGGAAAGGGATAACTTTTGGAAAGGGATCATGTTGACTTCATTTTGTTTTTAAGAGAAAGAAGTTTCTCTTTGTAAAAAAAAAAAAAAAGTGGTAAAGAATGGAAGTAAAAGTGTTAAGAAAATTTTTTTTTCTGAATTTTTAAATGAATAATTTAAGATTTTGTTTCTTTATGGAAACCAAGAGGTTGCCAAGGGACAAGATGAAGTAGTCAAAAGCAGAAAACCTTTAAAATCTATGGTTTTGGCAAGGCCTGAAATGTACTTTAAATGTTTTCCCTTCACATAGAAAGAAATTATCCAAATACTTTTAGTAATCTCCATTTCTATGACCAACAGGAACCTCAAACAACATACGCAAAAGTTGTATGATCCCATTTATGTGAAATATTTAGACTAGACAAATGTATAGAGATCAAAGTTTACTAGTGGTTACAAGAGGTGAGGAGGAGAGGAAAAGAGAATCATTGCTTAGGGGATACTCATCTTTTGCTAAGGGCAATGGAAAAAATTGAAAATAGCGGTGATGGTTAAATAACATGATGAACATAATTAATGTCGCTGAATTGTACTTGTAAAAAATGTTAAAATGGCGAATGTTTTATTATATATAAACTTAAAACCCAAACCCATTGCTGTAATTCAAAACACAACCTTAATCTAAGAAACGAATTAAGAAAAACCTCCCCAGGGACCAGAGGTATCCAAATTACTAGTCTTGTCACAGCACGTTAAAAATGCTATTTAATTTAAAAATTCGCAATGAGAGATTTCATTTTGCTTTTAGTTTCTTTCCGATTTCTTCTTTTAAAAGAGATGTGTCATTTTTTACAAACCAGAGGGTAATATGCATGATTTTCACACCGTAAAATTTCATACTAACCCACTAAACTTCTGAAATATGATATATGAGCTCTCACCTTCATAGGGCTTGAAATCCACACAGGACTTGAGGCGGAACATTTCAAAGGTGTAGAGAATGGCTCCTCTGGCATTCAGCTCTGCAAAAATCAATAAAAATACCAATGAGTATTATTTAGATCTTGGGTAGTATAATAACATCATTTAGAGAAAACCATTCCACTGCATGAAATCCACAGAGGCTCATAATAGATTTTTTGGTACAGTATACACCCCTTGGAATCTAAAATGGTAAAATTAGTTGCAGGTAGAAACATTAACTGCATACTTTAAATGCACAGTGCAAATATAGCTACAAAATAAGCATGTATACATGGCTGAATAAAATCATAAAATAACTTCCCTATTTTCTCCTTTTCCCCAATGTAAACAGGAAGTGTGAGTGCATTGCTCAGAAGAACCACATGGCAGAGCAGAAAATAGAAGTGGTTTGCAAGTCACTCTAGGTTTTGTATGCATAGACAAAGTGTCTTGGAGAAAAGCAGAAAAGCAGTGAGAATGGAGTTTTCTCACTCCAGCCTAAAAAGACATCCCCTCCCATTGGCAAAGGAGAGCAGAATTTAGAGGGGTTTGTGGGTTCTGAAAGCATAAGAAGCGCATATGGTATTTTGCCCTGCTTCCCTGCAAGACCCTTGGGGAGATGGCAACTCCAGGGACCAGCACTGCAGGCAGTCATGGAAAAGATTTTTATAATACAAGCTTGGCATCAAAGCAGCAGAAAACTAACGAGCCCGAAGGGGCAGGAACAACAAATGCCTAGCAGTAACCTATGTAGACCGAAGACCAGAAATCAAATGTCTTTCCTTTCACCCCTATGCACATACTCTGGCATTGCATAAGATAAGGATGGGACAGGAGGAAAGATACTCCAGAGAAACTAAGATAATGTTTTACGGTATAGTTTTTGTTGTTTGTTTTTTAAGTTTCATCAGCCCATTGAAGGTAACTTCAAATTAAGCTAACTTATATAAAGTTAAATTGTGTTTCTCGTACATCTGAATGTGTTTATCCTCTCATATAGCTTATAATTTTTGGCAGTTTATCAGACATTTTTTTTTTTTTACTGGTCCTGATTTTATTTAATAAACTACCAAGTTGTAGATTCCACAATTAAGATGTCATAAGATTACATGAGGGTTATTAAAAGAAATAATCATTGAAATTGTCAGTAAATTAATTGTGGGAAGAACACAAACAACCAAAAAAAAAAAAATGCATTAAACCTACTGAAGACTTTTTAGGGACTGTTACCTCTTCTTACTTAGTGACACTTATAATATTACCAAGATGGACCTCAAGAGTGCTGGGATGTCACATAGATACGAGGAAAAAGGTTTGATTATACTAAAGCCAAGCTTTTTGGAAGGTGATGTTGCTTTTGTTATCCTCAGGCCAAATGGTGAGAGTTCTGAGAGTTAATTTAAAAAAGACACCTCCTTTTCCCTCCTTATACCTGACTAAATTGCAAAAATGGAATTAGGCAACTAGACAGACACTTCACAAAAGAAGATATACAGATAACCAGTATGCATATGAAAGTCTGCTCAATATCATTAATCATTAGGGAAATTCAAACTAAAATTACAATGAGATACCATTTCACAACCATTAGAATGGTTAAAATAAAGTTGACAACACCGATGTTAGTGAGGATGTAGAGCAAATGGGACACTCACATGTTGTTAGTGGGAGTATAAAATGGCACAGTCACTCTGGAAAAGAATTGAGCTAAACATACGCTTAACATCTAGCCAAGCAATTCTATTCCTAGGCACTTACCCAAGAGAAAAAACAAACAAACTTGTATCCACACAGACTTGCACAAAAATGATCCCAGTATCCTTCTTTATAATGGCCCCAAACTGGAAACAACCCAATGTCTATCAACAGGTAAATGAATAACCAAGTTGCAGTATATTCATAGAATGGAATCAATGGAATATTACTGAGCAGTAAGAATGATTAACTATTGATCCACAATAACATGGGTGAACTTCAAAAATATTATGTTAAACAAAAGAAGACAAAAACGAAAGACTATATACTACATGATGATATTTTTCTGAAGTTTTATATCAGGTAAAACTAATCTATGCGGGAAAATTAGAAAGGGGGTTACCTCTTGGGGAGTGGGAATGAAGATTGGCTAGAAATGAGCACAAGGGAACTTTCTGGAGTGATGGAAGTATGTACATAGGTTTACACATTTGTCAAAAACCATGACTCGGAAAGTATGCTTGTCTTGAGCATTGTGTTCTTTTAAAGAATTGTCTACATGAACGTAATCAATGTCACTAAATTGTACAGGCAGAAATTGTTGAAATGGTGTATCTTTCACTGTGTATATTTCCACCAAAAATAAATTAATTAATTAATTTAAAAAATTGCCAGGACTTCTAAGATTTTTGCATTTCGTTCTATGTAAAGTTAGCTTTAAAAAGGGAACTGTATGCAAATATCGAACTCCAGTTAGTAGATTTGCTTTTCACAGTGGTATTGGCCTATACCCTAATTTTTTTTTTTTTTTTTAATTCTAAAGATGATTCTCATGTGGTGTTACCAGAAAATTTTTCATTGCTACTGCTGTATCTTTACTGTGGAATCCCTGGGTGGTACAGACAGTTAACGTGCTCAATTGATAACTGAAAGGTTAGAGCTTCCAATCCACCCAGACACACCTCAGAAGAAAGGCCTGGTGATCTACTTCTGAAAAATCAGCCACTGAAACCTTATGGAACACAGTTCTACTCTGACAGACATGGTCAGGAGGCGGAATCGACTTGACGGCAACTGGTTTATCTTTACTGCCTCTCTCTACCTTATTTCAGGTCCCTGTCTCCAGTCTTGCTCTCTGCCTATCTATCACCCACTTTGCAGGTAGAGAGCTCTTGCTACTTAAAGTTAGTCTGCAGACCAGCAGAATTGGAATCATTTGGGAAATGTTGGGCATGCAAAGTCTCAGGCCCCGACCCTGACCTCCTGAATCAGAATCCACACTTCAATAAGATTCTCAGGTGAGTCTTATGCACATTGAAGTTTGAGAAACACTGACTTACACCTCACAGATGCACGGTGAATGTTAAATAAGATAAACAGTGAAGGCATAGTGCCAGGCATATAATAGGATTCAATAAATAGTCTATGTGTTGGTGGGAGAAGGGGCACAGGTGTGACCAACATAAAGAAAAAGTGTCAAGGGAAAGAGCCACTGTTAAAACGGGTGTTTCTTAAAACACACTCCAATAAATACTGGTACTCTATGAACTTGCAAGTGTACTAGAGAACATTGAGAAAAACTCAACCCAAAAGTCCAACAAATAACTGAGAATAACAGTACCTGTTTACATCTAGCTCTTTTCCAAGAAAGGGATTCAAGTCAACATTGATGACACTGATGGAAAGTACTTAAACATTATCTACGTGTCCTGAGGTGGGAACAGCTTGGCAGCCCAGTAAGATTGAGCAACCTTGTGCTGACTTCCCCTCTCCCTCTCAGATGTTCTGTATTTATGTAGGATGGGCCCCAAAGGCATTGCAGTAAAGTTACTGCTCAGCTATCAGTCAGCTGCTTGAGGTCAGCCAGTACCCATATGTGGCTTCTAATATGTATTCGATTATTTCTAACAGTGAGTAAAATGTAACTTATTCATTTCTTTAGCTTTCAAGAAAAGAGAAATAATTATTAATACTTAGGAACATGAACGTATGAAATAAATATAAACATTTCCATTTCTCAAAAATGTGGCATGTTTCTCTTGTAACAAAAAAAGAAAAAAAAGCAATATGCTGAAAATAGTATCCTCATACCTCAGGAAAGCCTTTTACCATATTTATCTTCACCTAAAGTATTTAACGTGAAAATTTTTCATTGCTATGATGCGTAATTATATTTCTTTGTGTTTTTGTTCTTTATGTTGCTGCTGGCCTCATTAACATCTTAATGTGTTCTGCATTTTAAAAATTATTATTTGATGCTCTGAATCTCAGAAAGTTTAAGTGGTACTGGTTTCAATATAACATCATGCCTTTCTCGCAAGGAGATAAGGAATCATCAAGGCTTGGCAACCCTCTTACACATTGATGGTTACTTTCAGTCTGAAGCTGATGAACAGGAGGACGGGGAAGAGAGAAAAGTTAAACCAGAAGCTCCTAATTAAGAATGATTAATCTTACCCAAATTGTCAGCCAGAATGTAAGGAACAGGGAACTTCCACCTGGTGGTTGGGTCTCTCAGGCCATTTCTGGAGTTCTGTGAAAACAAAGGCAAAGATGACTGGAAAGCCTCGTCCTCAAAGTAATCCTCGAGTTCTCCTTGTCCCCTTCCCTCGCTAAAGTCTTACACCACAAACAGTCTATTGCACAATTTAAACTATTGTCTTCTGAGTATAAAATCAGTAGAAGTTCATTATAGACAACTTGGAAAAGTCACAGAAGTTACTAAGAAGAAAATGAATGAGACGTTCAATTTCCAAAAACTGAGATAGCACTCTAAACCTATACATACTTTCCTTCTCTCTCATTTTTCACTTATTAGAAAAATCGGGCATACCAGCGATTTAATAATTATAGACTCTTGTGCTACATGCTAATTTTTTCATCTATTTTTGTCATAATCAACTAAAGTCAAAGTCCTTGTGGGCACAGATTACAGATTAGAATTCTTTCTTCTACTCCACAGTGCCTATCCCAGGGGTGGACATAGGGCAGAGGCTCTCCCTCTAGTGACACAGCCAATCTCTGAGGACCCACCATGTCATTGGTAGGTACTCACCTGCAGGAAGATGTCCCCTTGAAAGAGGTCCAAGCCTGCATCTGGACGTGGATTTAATTTTAAAAAATCTGAATGAGCATTACTAAAAGATACCTCTTACAATAAAATTAATCTTTGTCATTATAAATCTTTAATTATTAATTTTTATATGTGAAACTTTTTGAAACAATGCAAAAATTCCCTCTAAGTGAATTATAAATAGCCCATAAGTATCTCATATTGTTGTATTCATTGTTTTCAATTTTGGAACAAGGAACCTTGTCCAAGAGTCTTAGAAGTAAGAGATGAGTTAAAAGGGATCTTATTGATCACTGACTCCAAACTTCTCATACTTCAGGGAAAGAAACGGAGTCCAGAGACAGTAAGTGATGTGCTAAGTGGTCAGTGGCCCAACCAGCATCAGAACTCCTGACTTCCTGTCAGGGCCCTTTCTGTTATTGTACCATCCTGCTTCTCATCCCTAAGTAAATGGCTCGGTTTTGCTCTGTCCCATGAAAAGATAATGATACCCTCCAAAGCCAAGTTCAAAGTGATGCCCTTGTAATAAGGAAGATCAGGTGAATGTAGACAGATCCGTTCAAAACTGGACTTCCAAACATCTCCTGTTAGGAGCTTAGCAGAATGTACTGTATCACTGCTGGTGTTGCTCAATCCTACCTTCACACTGTTTCTAAAAGTAAGATCCTTAAAAGGGAAGTTCCTTGTGGGAAAACTTCCTAGGTAGTTAATAGAATGTCACGTGTTATCATAACCCTCACATGACCAGAAGTCTCTCTGTAAAACACAAACTACTTCAGACAAGATCATTAGATTACACCTCATTGCGACCACAGCCCCTGTTTAAGGGTGGGGAAACCAAGCCAGAGAATGATCACTATAGGCTCATATGGTAACAAAGGCCCTATTTAGCAGTGGTTAAGAGTTCGGCTGCTAATCAAAAGGTTTGCAGTTCAAATCCACCAGCTGCTTCTTGGAAACCCTATGGGGCAGTTCTACTCTGTGCTATAGGGTCGCTATGAGTCGAAATCGACTCAATGGCAGCAGGCTTGGTTTTCTGGTTTTTTGGTATGGTTCATTCAAGGAGCCCTGGTGGTGCAAACGATTAAGCGTTGGGGGTTTAAATTCACCTGGTGGCTCCGCAGGAGAAAGACCTGGCAATCTGCTTCCATAAAGATTACAGCTAAGAAAACCCTACGAGGAAGTTCTACTCTGTCACATGGGCTCACTATGAGTCAAAAGTTGCCTAACAACAATGGTTCATTCAGGAGCAGGGCTAGGTCTCTGCTGCAAAGGACTCCAAGGAGGTATTAGGTAAGAGATGACGTGTTTCACTTGCTAATGATTAAGGCTGTCTCTGCATCACCCCCTTCCATATACACACATTTCCTAGCTTTGCTTGACCTCCATAACCCTAACTTATTTATATGGTAACAGCACCACTAAACAGTAACAAACTCAGCAATGAAGCCTCTGCACCACTGTCAGCAGCACCTAGATTTTCAGTTGTCTGTCCAGTAGGAGTAATATGTGCTGGTCCACCTAGAGTCTCACCTAGGCTTCCCATGAGCAAAAGAATGCATTTTTCTCACCCTTAGCCTGGATATTGCAGGTGAGGGCGGTCTTGTCCAAAGTGATGTGAACAAGCGCACTCAGACTTTGGCCCCAATAGTTGGTGGCATGGATAGGGTCAGAAGGGGGGTGGATGCAGCAGGAGGAGCATATACTCAAAGTCGTGTATATTCCATGAAATGTCCAAGTCTCAATCTATTCACTACCCAATTCCTTTATCTAGCACATAGTTATTATGTGTCTAATATGTCATCCTGAGTCAGAATCGCTCCACGGCAACTGGTTTGATTTTGGTTGTATACGTCCTCGACGCTGTTCTAGATGCTGGGGATATAGCAGGAAACCAAACAAAGCCCTCAGGGAGATGACATTCTTGATTGGGAGGTGGGGGTGTGGAGACAAACAAACAAGCAGATACATGTAGAGTGTGTCGGGTGGTGATATGTGCAAAACACTGAGCATGGTAAAAGGGGATAAAGAGTACTGAGGTAAAGACGGGTTGCTGTTTTATAAAGGGTGATAAGAGAAATGCTCCCTGATAAACAGAAATCTGATGGGAGAGAAGGAGTAAAGGAAGAGTGTTGGAGACAGAAGTGACAGCTAATAGAAAGGTCCTGAGGCAAGAAAGCCTTGGCATCAAAGACTTGTTGTTGTAAGCTGTCTTCCAGTCAGCTGCCAACTCATGGCGCCCCATGTATTACATAGTAGAACTGCTCCATAGGGTTTTCTTGGCTGTAATCTTTACTAAAGCAGATTGTCTTTCTTCTGCCGAGTCACTGGGTGGGTTCAAACTACCAAGCTTTGGGTTAGCAGCCTATTGCAAACCACTTACACCACCAAGACTCCTTTGTCTCACAGCAGTGGTTCTCAAACTTTACCATCAGCATGACCTTGAGCGCTTGTTAAAACACAGGTTTCTGATTCAGTAAGTCTGGAGCGGGAACTGAGATTTTTCTTCTCTAACAAGTTCCCTGATGATGCTGATGCAGCTGGCTGGGGGACCACACTTTGAGAACCACTTTTTTAGAGGAATAGCCATGAGCTCAGGGTGGCTGGAAAGCTTGAGTGAGCACAAGGAAGAATAATTAAAAAATGAAAATGAAGTCAGAGAGGCGGCGGGGTCAATTAACCTCAAACTTTAATGTGCATAGGAATCATCTGGGGCTCCGTCAAAATGGAAATACTGATTCTGAAGCCCCAAATACTGCATCTAAGAAAGTTTTAGGTGATGCAGGCGCTGTAGGCATGTGGCCCACACTTTTGAGTATTAAGCCTCTAAAAAAAACCCAGTTGTTCTCGAGTTGATTCTGACTCACGACAACTCCATGTATGTCAGAGTAGAACTATGCCCCATGGGGTTTTCAATGACTGATTTTTCTGAAGCAGATCTCCAGGCCTTTCTTCTGAGGCACCTCTTGGTGCCAGTCTATCTTTCAGTTAACAGCCAAGCATGTTAACCGTTTGTACCACCCAGGGACTCCAATCAATACTCTAGGGCTCTTATTTTGTGTTGGATGGATGATCTGAGAAATGACATAATCTGAATTATAGTAAAAAGAGAGTTCTGACTACTATATAAAGAATCGTCTGTAGGGGGTAAGGGCAGAATGGGGAGAGCAGTTATTAGGCCACTTCAAGGATGAGGTGAGAGATGAGGTGGCTTGTACCAGGATGGGAGCTGTGAAAGGTACAAAAGTATTAACTTGTGATAAAATTTGAAGGCATATCTAATAGCATTTGCTGAGAGCTCAGATGTAAGCTGTGAGAGAAAGATAATTGTTAAGGGAAACTCAGATTCTGGGCTTACCAAACTAGAAGGAGGGAGTTTCATTTACTGAAAGGAAAAAGACTTGGAGAAGCAAGTTTAGGGGTGGAAAAAGTGTTAAATCAGCATTGTGAGGCATGGAGAAAAGATAGTCAAAAGATGACACCTTTCTCTATATAATTTTTTCCAATCAATTTATGCTTTTATAATCTGGCTACATGACTAGCCCAATCAATCCTGGTAACTAGTTTGGAATGACCTAAAAAAATAGGATGTACCTACATGGTACACAGATTTTCTTTTTTTTTTTTTTCATTGAGATTATAGTTCAGAGGTGGCTGTGGGGCTGAAGAATAAGAAATGGCTCAAAGATGAAAGAATTAATTTTTACTAGATAAATAAGGAGTAGATTAGAAAAACACTAATTCTAATCCCAGCCCTGCTTTAAAATACAGCAGATCCTCTGAATTTCATACGTCTTCACTGTTTGACTCCAAAGAGAGATATTTTGATGCCCTGCTCTGAAGTCTTGGGATCCATTTACCCATGTACCTATTTTCCTGACCAAACTATTTCCACTCTGCCCATGCAGTCATTCTCAATATCTTCCCAATTAAATATGAACCAATCTGTCTTTCCTGTGAATGGGACAAGGCCAGAGAAATTTAACCCTTATGGATGGGTTTTTCAGCTTTGTAGTATTCAAATAGTACTGAGCTATCAGTCAGAAGGAGTCTGAGTAGTGCAAACAGTTAAGCACTCAGCTGCTAACTGAAAGGTTTGAGTCCACCCACAGGTGCCTTGGACGACAGGTATGGTGCTCTACTTCCAAAAAATCAGCCATTGAAAACCCTACAGAGCACAGTTCTACTCTGACACACATGGAGTCACCGTGAGTCAGAGCTGACTACACAGCACCTGGTTGTCAGTCAGAGGACATGAAAGTGAGCCTCATCTCTGCCACCTGTGATCTTGGGCAAGTCACCCTAACCACAAGGAGCCTCTTGTCCCTTCCTGCAAAATGAAAAAACACTTACCCCGCTACATCATTTGACAAGTAAATATGCAACCGGATACAAAAGCTTTTGTAAACTCTAGGTTGTTTATAGTCAGGAATAGCTCTGCTTCCACCAGTCCTAACTACACATGCCCAGAATGTAGAGGCTTCTCCCTCATTTCAAAAACAGAACAGAGGGAGGAATGATGATGACTCGGCTTCTCTTCTCAGTAATGGATGAGGCTGATGAATTTCTCCAAGAAGTATATTTGTGGATGACAAGACCTAAGCGGAAATACATTTCTACCTTTATATTCTTCTCTAAGTCCAAAGCAAACAGTTGTTAGTGGATATGACTGGTCAAAAGAGAGATGGAGGTTTTCTCCTCATGAAATATAACCATAGACTTATTCCTTATATTTTTTCTTTAGCAAGCAGGATAATCATTTACTTTTATTTCCTTTTTTTTTTTTTTCAAAACAGAAACTGAAAACAATGAAGTGTTTATAAACAAAAACCTGGTATATATTTCTAGATCCATCTAGGACTCACTAGCTTTCCTAGAAAATGGGGTTCAACCATCTTTCTCTTTCCATATTTGCACTTTTCCAGAACTCTGCAAATCCTAGTGAATTAACCTTTCTCCCCCAAAGTTACCCAATACAGTATTAGAAAGCCATTCTAGCACTGAGTTTTAAATTATTTAAATTATTCCAAGGCATTAGCAAAGCAGAAATTGAACCTACCTAAATTGATTTCTGTAATGGCCTTCTGTTCACCAAAATCGGCATCGTGGGCTGTTAAAAGTGGGGAAAACAAAGTTGTTACTAGTCTTGCTGAACAAGTGAAGGAAAGTTCAGAAACACTCTCTACACATTTACATGGGCTCTTACCAGTTCCTTGAGAAAGACGTTTAATCTGAAAGGGAATAAATATACAGAAAATGGATAATGTATACCAGAATTAATATTTCTGAATACCCCAAAGAACAGAAACCTACTTACCGATACAGCTGTTATACGGGCAAAAACAAGACGAAAGAGAGAACACAAGTGAATCTTGTCCACACCATTGCTGCAAGTGCGTGGATGTTAGCAGACACCTTGTGATAAATACCTTTTGAACGTTGCCCTGTCATATTACATATGTTACTTTGACCCCTCCATATGTGCTATAGCATTAAAACAGGTAGTCAAAGAAAATATCACTGACATTTTGAGAGTAGACACTAAGTTTAACTTAAAAGCTCAAGTGTCAGAGACTGCAGAAAAGTTATACAAATTTAATACTAAGATTAGCATATAAAAAACAATAGCTTTCCTATTTAAAAAAAAAAAAATCTGTTGTGGTGGAGTCTATTCCAATTCATAGTGACCCTATAGGACAGAGTAGAACTGCCCCATAGGGTTTCTGTCAGGGATTGAATTGTGTCCCCCAAAAAATATGTGTATCAATTTGGCTAGGCCATGATTCCCAGTATTTGGTGATTGTCCACCATTTTGTCATCTGATGTGATTTTTCTGTGTGTTATAAATCCTATCTCTGATGTTAATGAAATGGGATTAGTGGCAGTTATGTTAATGAGGCAATAATGACTCAATTCTACAAGATTAGATTATGTTTCAAGCCAATCTCTTTTGAGATGTAAAAGAGAAAAGCAAGCAGAGAGACAGGGGGACCTCATACCACCAAGAAAGTAGTGCCAGGAGCAGAGCTCAGCCTTTGGACCCAAGGCTCCTGCACAAGAGAAGCTCCTCTACCAGGGGAAGACTGATGATAAGGACTTTCCTCCAGAGCCGACAGAGAGAGAAAGACTTCCCTGGAGCTGACACCCTGAATTCGAACTTTTAGCCTCCTAAACCTACTGTGAGGGAATAAATTTCTCTTTGTTAAAGCCATCTACTTGTATTTCTGTTATAGCAGCACTAGACAACTAATATAGTTTCCAAGGCTGTAAGTCTTTACAGAAGCAGACTGCCACATCTTTCTGCCATGGAGCGGCTGGTAGGTTCGAACAGCTAACCTTTCAGTTAGGAGCCTAGTGCTTAACCACTGCAGCCACCAGGGCTCTTATAGCATTCCTATACACCAGCAATAACTATTCATAAAATATAACAGATAAAAGATCCCCTTCACAATAGAAATAAAGATCATCTACAAAATGCTTATAAAGTATTAAAATCTAATAAAAGATGAATCAGAATTTTATGGAACCATTATAAAGCAATTACACCAAACTCAAAACCAAATCCACTGCCATCAAGTCAATTCCAACTCATAGCAACCCTGTAGGATAGAGTAGAACTGCCCCATAGGGTTTCCTAGGCTGTAAAGCTTTACAGAAACAGACTGCCACATCTTTCTTCCGTGGATTCAAACCTCTGATCTTTCTTCAGTTAGCAGCCCAGCAAGCTTAAGGTATTTTTATGCAAATAACACTCGTCTTCTACATTTGTTTGCTAACTGCTCCCTCCCCTGCTAGAGGTATTTTCGTAATTGCAGCTATGCCAATTTGCACGTTACTGTAAAAAAAATTAGCATAGCACTCTTATGAAAATACCTGAGTGGGGCAGGAGTGGTTGGCAAACAAAGGTAGACGGCATTGTTTGCGTACAAATGCGGTAACCACTTCAATACCAGGGCTCCATATTATATATATAATGTTCATGGATGAGAAAATCAGTATAATAAAGATAGTCATCCTTTCCATATTAATCTAGAAATTCAATGTCATTGCAATCAAAATTTTAACAGGGTTTTCAGTGGAAATTCACCATGAAAGAGTAATGTTAAGGACTTTCCTTGAAAGAGTAAACCTCCAAGAACAGATAAAAAATATTTCTGAAAAGGAAAAGCAAAGAGAAAAGAACAAATCTACCAGAACATCCAGAATTTTTATAAAGTTATGGTAATTAGCGAGTGTGATATTGCCAACAAGAAAGATCAATGGGTCTACAGAACGGAATACAAAGTACTAAAATAGAGGCAAACATATGTGATACTTTAGTATATGTGAGGAACCCCAAAAAAAATCCACAGGGAAACTTTAATCTCCTCAGTGAATGATGTTGAAACATAAGATTTTCATATGAAGAAAAAATTAAATTCTCATCTTACACCATTCACAAAAATAAACTCTAGATGAATTTAAAATGGAAATATGAAAAACTAAACTTTGGGTAAGAAAAAAATAGGAAACTACCATTAACTTTGAGGCCAGCAAAGATTGTTTAAACCATAAACAAAGCATAGAAATCATAAAGGAAAAGAATAATATATTTGACTATATCAAAATTTAAACTTCTTAATGCTAAAGAGACAACAACATAGTTAAAAGATAAGCCACAAAAGGAAGAAGATATGTATACTGCATATAATCAAATAAGGACAACTATCCAGGATATGTAAGGAATCCCTACAAATCAATGAGAGAGAGAGAGAGATGATCTAAGACAAAAATGGGCAAAAAATGTTGCTGTTGTTGTTGCTGTTAGGTGCCGTCGAGTCAGTTCTGACTCATAGTAACCCTATGTACAACAGAATGAAACATAGTGGGCAAAAATTGTGAATAGGAAATTCACAAAAAAAGAAACCCAAATGACCAATAAACAGATGAAAAGATTCTCAACCTCATAGGTAATCAGAAAAATGCAAATTCAAATAACAATGAAATGCCACCTCAAGCTCAGTTTGGTATAAATGAAGAAGGCTGACAACACCAAACGTTGACAAGGATATGAGGAAACAGGAAATCTCATACACTGCAAAGTGGTGTTGTCTAATAAAATTGAAATGTGCATAGATTATAAGGTAGAAATTCCAATCCTAGGTATGCACCCTAAAGAAATTCATACCTATGTGTACAAAGTACCATTTAAGATATTCATTGCTATACTTTTTTTAATGATAAAAGAACTAGAGGGAAATGCGTATATACTAGAAACCATCCCTGGGTGGTGCGAATGGGTAACATGCTCAGCTGCTAACCAAATGTTGGCAGTTCAAGTCCAATCAGAGGTGCCTCAGAAGAAAGTCCTGGAAATCTACTTCTAAAAAGTCAGCCATTGAAAACTCTATGGAACACAGTTCTACTCTGACACCTATGGGGTTGCCATGAGTCAGATCCTGGATGGACTCCAACCTTCAACCTTTTGGTTAGCAGCTGAGCTTATTAACTGTTCGGACCACCTGGGGACTCCAAAAGAACCTAAACTAGGTGAACAGCTAAAATGGCTTAGATTAGCAAATATTATCTATACCATTAAAAAATGGGTGGAGAGGGACTTGATAAGTATCAACTTCTTGAGACTAATTGACTGTAAGAATTGGGGAGTGTCTTAGTCATCTAGTGCTGCTGTAACAGAAATACCACAAGTGGGTGGCTTTAACACAGAGAAATTTATTCTCTCACAGTCCAGTAGGCTATAAGTCCCAATTCAGGGCGTCACATCTAGGGGAAGGCTTTCTCTTCTCTGTCATCTCTGAAGGAAGTCCTTGTCATCAGTCTTCCCTTGGTCTGGGAGCATCTCAGCACAGGAACCTCAGGCCCAAAGGATGCGCTCTGCTCCCAGCACTGCTTTCTTGGTGGTATGAGGTTCCCACATCTCTCTGCTTCCTTCTTTCTTTTATATCTCAAAAGAGGTTGGCTTAAGACACTATCTAATCTTGTAAATTTCATCAATATAACTGCCGCTAATCCATTTTATTACATCATAGTGATAGGATTTACAACACACAGGGAAATCACATCAGATGATAAAGTGGTAGACAATCATACAATACTGGGAATCAAGACCTAGCCAAGCTGACAGATATTTATGGGGGACACAATTCAATCTATGACAGGGAGGAAAATACAGGCAACTGTTATTTCTTAAATATTTAACTTAATTTTTCGCAAATTTTGAAGCAACTCTGACAAAAGTAAGGATCCCTTGTCGTGCACTGGTTAAGTGCTCAGCTGCTTATTGAAAGGTCAGAAGTTCAAATCCACCAGCCATTCTCAGTACTTTTCCATAAAGAATTACAGCCTTGGTTATGGAAGCTTCATAGACCTGTCCAAACTTCCTGAGGGACCAAACTACTAGGCTGAGGGCTGGGGACATCTAGCCCAATTGGTATAACATAGTTTGTAAAGAAAATGTTCTACATCCTACTTTGGTGAGTAGCGTCTGGGGTCTTAAAGGCTTATGAGCGGCCATTTAAGATATTCCACTGGTCCCACCCTTTCTGGAGCAAGTGAGAATGAAGAAAACCAAAGACACTAGGGGAAGATTAGTCCAAAGGACTAATGGACCACATCTACCACAGCCTCCACCAGACTGAGTCCAGCATAACTAGATGATGCCCAGCTACCACCACCGACTGCTCTGACAGGGATCACAACAGAAGGTCCTAGATGGAGCTGGAGGAAAATGTAGAACAAAATTCTAACTCATAAGAAAAGATCAAACTTACTGGTCTGACAGAGACTGGAGAAACTCCGAGAGTATGGCCCCTGGACACCCTTTTAACTCAGTACTGAAGTCATTCCTGAGGTTCACCCTTCAGCCAAAGATTAGACAGGCCCATAGAACAAAACGAGACTAAATGGGCACACCAGCCCCAGGGGCAAGCACGAGAAGGCAGGAGGGGACAGGAAAGCTGGTAATAGGGAACCCAAGGTCTAGAAGGGGAGAGTGCTGACATGTCGTGGGGTTGGCAACCAATGTCACAAAACAATATGTGTATTAATTGTTTAGTGACAAGCTAATATGCTGTATAAAGCTTTATCTAAAGTACAATTAAAAAAGAAAAAAAGAATTACAGCTTTGGAAACCCTATAGGGCAGTTCTACTCTGCCCTAGGGTCGCTATGAGTCGGAATCAACTGGATAGCAATGGGTTTGGTTTCGGTTTTTATGACAAAAGTGAACATTGGTTAATTCTGGATGCCAGGAAATAGGGGTTTAAGATTCTGTTTTTTATTTTGTTTTCTAAAGAAAGGGGCAATGCTTCTGCTTTGGTCCTGTTTCCCACTAATTCCCAAGCATTAGGATTTCAAACAGTCAGTAATGGGGCTATTTAATTCTCTTTCCCTTCCCCTGCCTCTAGCTAGATACGCTTTTATCATGCCCTTCTGTTATGGGTTGAATTGTGTCCCCCAAAATATGTGCTGAAATCCTAACCCCTATACCTGTGGATGTAATGTAATGTAATTACTTTCCATGATGCAGTCTAATACAATGCCATTAATCAATCAGTTGAGGTCTTATCGGTGTAGGATGGATCTTAAATCTAATCACTTCTGAGTCATATGAAGAGCAGCATAGACACAGAGCAAGCAATCACACGTGGGGGAAGACAGATGCCACATGAGGATCACCAAGGAAGCAGTGAACACCCAGGGCTACTGACAAGGAAGGAATTGACAGGGCTGAGGTCCTGATTTGGACTTCCAGCCTCCAGAAATATTAGAAAATAAATTTCTGCTTTTAAAGCCACTCACTTTTAGTATTTTTGTTACAGCAGCACAAGGGAACTAAAATACCTTCTTTCTTACACTTACCTAAACAATATATTTTAATGGCTTTGAGGTCAATTCGACCGGAATTTAAACCCTACCTCCCCCATTGATTTCTTGTTGTTGGGGGCTATCGAGCTGATTCTAACTCATAGCAACCCTATAGGACAGAGTAAAACTGCCCCACAGGGCTTCCTAGGCTGTATGTTTACGGAAGCAGATTGCCACGTCTTTTCTCCCATGGAGCCGCTGGTAGATTCAAACTACTGATCTTTCAGTTAGCAGCTGAGCACTTAACCACTGCAGCACCAGGGCTCCTTCTACCATTGACTGTTGTTGTTAGGGGCCGTCAAGTCGGTTCCAACTCATAGCGACGCTATGCACCACAGAACAAAACATTGCCTGGTTCTGCACCGTGCTCACCACCGTTGTTATGCTTGAGCCCATTGTTGCAGCCACTGTGTCAATCCATCTCATTGAGGGTCTTCCTCCTTTTGGCTGACCCTCTACTTTACCAAGCAGGATGTCCTTCTCCAGGGGCTGGTCCCTCCTGACAACTTGTCCAAAGTTTCTAAGACGTAGTCTTGCCATCCTTGCACCTAAGGAGCATTCTGGTTGTACTTCTTCCAAGACAGATTTGTTTGTTCTTTTGGCAGTCCATGGTATATTCAATATTCTTCGCCAACACCACAATTCAAAGGTGTCAGTTCTTCTTTGGTCTTCCTTATTCATTGTCCAGTTTTTGCATGCATATGATGCGACTGAAAATACCATGGCTTGGGTCAGGCACACCTTAGTCTTCAACGTAACATCTTTGCTTTTCAACGTTTTAAAGAGGTCTTTTGCAGCAGATTTGCCAGATGCAATGGGTTGTTTGATTTCTTGACTGCTGCTTCCATGGGTGTTGATTGTGGATCCAAGTAAAATGAAATCCTTGACAACTTCAATCTTTTCTCCATTTATCATGGT